CTTCAGGATGAACAGCGTGATACTCAAGATTGTAGACAATAGTCTGCTCTGACCTAATAAACGTTAGGTCAGAACAGACCTGAAAACCACCCTCCCTGAAACTCTAATAAATGTTCTAGTCTTCATGAGAATTCTGAAAACACATTCCCTTTCTCAAGTGAGCTTTGATTTTAAAAAATTGCTTGAGGTTAGGATAGTCATTAGGAACATACAATCTCCCTCTAAGGATATTCTGAGGACTATGAACTGGCAGGTTTTCTCAGTACAACAGAAAGGATATTTTCACACTTTTGTCTTTTTGTGTTACTAGGAATGCAATTCTGGGTATCACATATGTTAGAGGTAGGCAAGGTCTCTACCATTGAGCTACATGCCCAGCCACTCACATATTTTAAAAGAGAATTTAAGGACTCTGCCTTCTTAACACCAATGCCTGGTTTGAATATTGACCATTTCTTCCTTATTTCGTAATCTCTCGCCTCTCACAGATGATCTGTCCGTAACAGAAGCTGATGATTTCCACATATGAAGTGATATCTGTAATCCTCCTGAAGTCCTATGTTGCTTACATATGCTTAGAGAAGAAGGAACAAGTTATATTCTCTTTTCTACTGGAAGACTGCAATTTTACTGCCAGTGTCAATTCCAGGATGTAGGCACCTAGCAGAATTGCTTGAGCATAATTCCTTGCAGACAGGGTTCTAGCTGTTATAAAAGCCATAAGATCAAACAGACTAATGGGTCAGAAAACTGGCAGGAGAGGAGCAGATTCAGTTCAGAAGAAATAGAATAATCAATGACCTTGGAGATTTCAGACAAATCAGATTTTTTTTTTTTGAAGGTGGGGATATAAATAGCATAAACACAACAAAGACACATAGAAACAAAAGCCATCAACTCAACGTTTTGTTTGAAAACTTGTTAGTTCTAGAGGACTGTTCACAACCACAGCTGCTAATGGTTATGGATTTGGCAATCAAAATGTCTTTGTTTAAAAAAAAATAAAAAGTTTGAACTGCCTCACTATTGAGGTTACAAACCACAGCCTTGATGCATCGTTGCAGTCAACATCCTCCCTGCTGTTTCTGAGAGCTTACATCTGCTGCTGGCAGATAAAACGCTGGCGAATAGAACAGCACGGAATCCTTCCAGGGGAGCACAGGAGAAGCTCGAAGGACATGGCTCTGCTCTACTTTTCTCCCCTGCGTTGAGCCCGTAGCCTTTTCCCTATCGCTCCGGCCCTGTCCGAACAATCTGCCATTACTCAGGAGGGTTGAGGGCCTAGGGGATTTTTTTCTGGCACAAATTAGTCAAGCTAGGCTTAAAAAATAAAAGGAAGACAAGTTCTTAGCTCAGGGGAAAACATGTTAAGCACATTTTTTTAAAAAAAAGTCACTTATAGCTTAATTTTAAAACAATCACTAACAAAATGGGTTTTTGTTGTTGTTGTTAAGAAAACTAAAGGATCACACTGTCAAAAATGGTGAGGGCTTTGGATATTTTCATTTATCCAAGAAAGGCCAAGAATGTGAGGTCAGTGGTAAACTACTGAGTTTCTTTGAGGAAGAAAAAAGGAACAGAACGGAGAAGTAAAATGTGGTCCAAGTCACATAGGAAGTTAGTTTCAGTTGAAATAAAAATGATTACATCCACACTGATTTTCAAAGAAAATGTGGCGCAGCTGGATTATTAAGAAGTGGGGGCTGCAACGCTAAAGGAAGACAGGCTGGGAACTGTGTCCTCTGGATGGTTCTCTCTAAGTGAGCTGAGCTATGAGGAAAATGAAAAGCCACATGTAGTAGGCTAGTGATTCTTGCACCGTACCTACCAGGATGCCAGTGCTACAGAATGTAAACAGGTAATGTGTGTGTTTGTCGGGGAGTTGTTCCTGTTCAAAAGGTTTACAGGGTCTAGGAATGTAGCTCAGTAGTACAGGTGCCTCACATCTGCAAGACACGGGGTTCGATTCCCAGTACTGCCAAAACAAAACAGGACGTAACTGCATGTTATGTCTACCTCTCAGGGAGTCATAATGTATACCAGCATCCTAAGCGCTCTGAGAAACCCTGTGGTAAACACATTTGTTTAGTCCAAAGACATTTATGTGATGGACTAGTTTGGGAAATGCTATATAGGACTATCAGTCCTAAACTCTCAAGTCATTTATTCAGAAACATGAATGAGTCTGAAGGTCACAGAGTGCTTGTTTAGCATGTGCCAGGCTCTGGGTTCAATCTTCAGCAGCACCAAAAAAAATGTAACTGGTAGAACAGACAAGGCAACTACATTTCTTATACCGCAGAACTCCAGTCCAAACAGAAACAGGTAGATGATTACCAAGGGTGGTCTAGACGTTTTTCAAGGCAAACACCAAGGCTACAACTTTTAAAAGTGATATGATCCAAGCTGGGTATGGTGGCATGTGGTTGTAATCCTCGTTGTAAGGAGGCTAAGGCAGAGGCATCACAAGCTGGGGGCCAGCCTGGGAAACTTAGTGAGACCCTGTTTCACAATAAAACAATAAAAAAGCCTAGGGATCCAGCTCAGTGGTACAACACCTCTGGGTTCAACCTCCAGTACTTCCACAGAAAATAAAAATAAACAGGTGGTACAATCCTTACTCAATACATAGTTCAAACTATGACTATTATCAATTCTAAACATATTCATATCCTATATATGGAATATATAGGATATAGGAATAAACAGTAGGAAAAAGTTGCAAAGCACAGGGAAAACGGTATGGGATTTCTGTGTTTGAGGAAGCCTACAGGTTGCTGGCATTGTGGTGTGTTTTAATGTCACACATAAGGGAAATTCTTAATGAGAGCTGCCAGGACCTCCCGCTGAGAACATATGGAGGATTCCTGTCCTTCTACTGCTGCCCTCAGCAATCCAGGAAGTAAAACTGAACATAACCTCCAAAAGGGGCAGTGTGCTGACCTGCAAGAGGTGCTTGTGGAGCCAAAAAGATGTTTTGTTAATTAAATTTCTAACTCCTGTGTTATGGCTTGTGTCTAGATGTCCCCACAAAGCCTTATGCAGTCTTAGGTGAGGCTTTTCAGAGCATGCGATGCTGGGATCAAGGGTGTGTGATTACTAAATTAGTCCACTCACTGGTCTGGCACAGTTCTGAGAGTAGATAATGGGAGGCCCACCTGGGGCGTGAGTGCCGCTGCCCTAAGGGCATGCAGCCTGAATAGGGTGCACGGGACAGAACGAGAGCTGCCATCCTCAGCTGCTGCTTTGCTCTTTGGCTGCTTGGTGCCTTCTGCTTTGCTGCCCTCTGCCCATCATGAACTATCTCTCCTCTTCGATGCCCTTCTGCCATGCCACTGCTTTGGAGCCACCTGATTACGGACTGAAACCTCTATAAACTGTGAGCTACAATAAACCTTTCTTCCTTTAACTTTGGGGGTTGGGTATTTTGTTTCAGCAACGAGAAAAGTAACTAAGACATCCTGTAACCCTCATAAATACTCCATACATTAGCGTTATAGTTTCTGACCTTTCTCTACACTAATTTCTGGCAGAAAAAAATGACTGGCTGTCTAGAGATTGCAATCAGTTGACCCTGAATCAGGTAGTGCTTTGCTTGACCCATAAATCAAGCACCTTGCCCATCTACTTCACCAGATGCAACGGGTTCTCTTTTAGAATGCAAATATAACACAAAGAGAACATAAAGCATTGAGTTATACTAAGCTGTTAATGACTGTTGAGTCTCTCACACTGTAAGGCCAGTCAGGCATGGTGGCATGTACATGTGAGAGGCTGAGACAGGATTGCAAATACAAGCCCAGTCCGGGTTATATAGCTGTCTCACAAAACCAAAACCAAAACTGAAACAAACAAAAAAACCAAACACAGACTGTATAGCCCAGTATAAGGCATTTTTATAATTATTAGTTCTAGATTGAAAAAAAAAAAAAAAGAGGAAGAGCGCTGGGAGTGTGTAGCTCAGTGGTAGAGCACCTGTCTAGCATGCATGAGGCTCTGGGTTTTATCTCCAACAACTAAAAAAAAAAAAAATCAAAAACAAAAAACCAAAGACAAAGTATGCTGAAAAACAGAACAGCGAAAATGTTAAGCTGAAGCACATTTTCTCAAGCACAGTGGGAGAAGCCCTGTTGCCAGAAGTACTGTAATTGTTTAAAGAACAGGAAAACCACGCTGTAGCAGGACTCCACGCTCCAAAGATGGACTGTCACATTTTGAAATTTTGGCAGTCTGAGTCTAAACATAGAGACCCTACATTTCAGGAATTTTCGATCAAGCTAGTCCTTCAGCTCCCTCTACTGTTCAAAAACGTACTTTAGTTATGTCAATCTTTAGTTTTATATATACATACACACATTCAGCTGTACATTTATACATATTCAAAATATGACACAGTCGAAGGAGTCAGAGTTCAAATACACTTGCCTATTACACGTTCAATGCCCTGGAACAAATGCTCTAAAAGAAGCAAGCAAAGAGCCTTCCTTTTGTAAATAAGGAGAGGAAAAACGGTTGAAGGGAGGGGAGGGGAATGGGGAAAAAAGAGGAATCAAGGTATATCATGTACAGGTACCAATTCCCTATGATGAATGTGAGCATTACGTATATCTAAATTGTACCAATAAACTTAATTAAAAAAAAAAGAATAGATACTTCACACCCACCTACTCTAAATGATTCAAGAGATAACAAGGTCTCTTTACCAAAAGAAACAAAGCTGTGTTAAGGGATAAAGGCTCTAAGCTCACTAGCTGTACTGTGGCAACACCTTGTTATGCAGCAACGAACAGGTGTGAGTTCCCCTACATGCGAATCCAAAGCAGCACTACATCTTGTCAGTTTCTGACCTACCTTGTCTTCCTCCAACATATCCTTATTAAACGACTCCCTTTTTCTCCATAGGTCTAGTACCTTATTTTCTTCAGGATAGTCTGGTTAAGATTTATGAGTCCATTGTAATAAAACCAAGCATCTGCCCAAGAAAAGTGTTCTTTACTTGCCTGATCCTTAAATTGTTTCTGGGACAAGCAATCCATGAGGTCCACACAGCCCAGCAGGCAACCTGAAGGATAGTCACTGGGAAATTCCACATCTGAATCAAGACAAAAGAAAATATTAGATAAATTTCCTCCTTTGTCACCCTAAAACTCAGGAATGTTTTTGATTTTGTTTACTTTTTTTTTTTTTTTTTTGGTACTGGGACTAGAATTCAGGACCTTGCACTTGCCAGGCAGGCACTTGTGCTACTGAGCTATATCACCAGCCCTTGTTTTTAATCCTGAATAAGTAACTTTTCCCATTATCTATTTGTAGACATAATGGAAACAATGAGGTTTTGTTTGGCACAATTGTGTGTATTTTAGCAAAAAGCCTAGTGAGTAACTGGTTTAGTTTACTACCCGCATACTAAGCTGGGAAACTTTTTTTTTAGAAAACTGTTCTCTTACTTACACCAATAAAACTCAAGGACCCTACAAGTTTATTACAAACAAATCAATTCTACAATACTAGCTGGATCATAGCGGGGTTTGGTGGTGATTGGTTTGGGGAACAAAGAAAGACAATGACAAGAGAAAAACCATAAAACTATGGCCAAAAAAAACAGAATCAACTCTTCCTATAAGCTGCCCAAGGTGATCTGTGAAAATGGTTTGCTACTCTCTTGACCCAGAGAAAACCCCAGAAAACTGTGCAAATCAAAAAGCCAAAATCTTCATGTGCACTTTTAAAACACCCACGAAACTACCCAGGCCACCAGGGGTATGCACATCTGCAAGCCACCAAGTATCTAAAGGATGTCACCTCAAAGGAGCAGTGTGTGCCCCCACAGTTCCGATGGGGAAGCTGGTAGCCATGTCCACAGCAAACCATGGGGCTGACCAAAACCAGCGCTCAGTTTTTACTACACATGCTTACCAGTGCAGAGAGGGAAGCCAAACTGAGCGTTTAGATTAGGTTCTCTGGTCAGTGATTGTATCCAAGTGAGCAAACCACCTAAGAGGCACTGTGATAACAGAACTGAGTCAGATAAACCCATCTGTAAGCTCCCCTTTTCAGTAAGGAATTGACCCTTACTGAAAAGGAACAAACTGTTCTTAAACCAGAGGAGGAAGTTGCGCAGAATAAAAAGATACCCTGGAAGAAGCTAAAGAGGCAAAAACTTACAGTATGGAATAAAGCGTAAAATAAATGCAAATAATTTTTAAAAATGAGTGTCGGAACACAAATTTATTTATTTATTTATTTATACAATAATGGGGATCTAACCTGGGGCACTGTACTGCTAAGCTACATCCCCAGCACGGCCCCACCCCCTTTTTGCAGTACTTGGAATTGAATCCAGGGCACTGAGCCGCATCCCTAGCTCTTTTTATTTATTGCTATTGTTAATTGTGTTGTTGTTTTGAGACAGGGTCTCGGTATGTCATTCAGGCTGGCCTTGAACTCACTACATAGTCCAGGCTAGCTCTGAACTTGCGGTGATCTTCCTGCTTTAGCCTCCTAAGTGCTGGGATTACAAGTGTGCACCACCACGCCAGATTTATCGGCTTAATTTTTGAGACAAAATCTCACTAAATTATCCAGGCAAGACTCAACCCTGTAAATAAAATAATGCACTGTTTCTATTACTTACATTAAAAGTTGGGTGTAAAATATTTAAAAGTAGATACTTCGCTCAGTAAAAAAAATGAAATGTTTTATATTTCTTTTATTAAGAATGCTGTTATTCTAAGCATAGTAAATAATGTCTTAAAAAGATCAAAGAGCATTTACCATAGAGAAATTATCTCTAGCATGAATGTAATGGTGATGCAAAGAATCATTTGTCTTGTCATTGTAATAATAAAATGATTAACAGTTATGGAGGGGCAGGAGGGGACTCAATTCTTGTGATCCTCTTGCCTCCCAAGTGCTGAGATTAAAGGCAAGTGCTCCCATGCCTGGCTAGGATCCAAATTTAAAACAAGTCTGACATATCACTCAAAATAGCATTGTTTTTAAGCAAGTATGCACTTTTAATAGCACTCCTAGTGGCTGCTTAAGTTTAATTCATTTCTTTCTTTTTCTTTCCCTCCCTCTCTCCCTTTTCCTTCCCCCTTCCTCCCTTTCTTCCTCCCTTTCTTCCTCCCTCCCTCCCTCCCTCCTTTCCTTCCTTCCTTCCTTCCTTCCTTCTTCCTTCCTTCCCTCCTTCCTTCCTTCCTTCCTTTTCTCCTTCCTTCTTTTTTTGGTTTTTTGAGACAGGGCCTCGCTTTGTAGTACAGGCTGGCCTTGAACACACTATGTGGCCCAGGCTGGCCTCAAACTCGAGGTGATCCTCCTGCCTCAGCTTCTCAAGTGTTGGGATTACAGTTGTGCGCCATCACACCTGGCTAGCTTAGTTTCTTTTTCAAAAAAATTTTAAAATTTTATTAGTATATATTTGCAGTCTATAATGGCTACACTCATCATGGGGAATTGGTTCATGTATATAACACATCTTAATTCTTTTTGCTTTTCTAAATTTGGTTTCTTAGAAACTTTTGTTTTTGGTTCCAGGGATTGGAGCCAGAGCCTCATGCACACTAGGCAAGTGCTCTACCATAGAGCTATATTCTTAACCTTTTGAGTAAGATCAAGTGTAAAATTAAAGTTAGTTGGTGAGCAACTGATTTGAAGGTAACAACATGCAATGGAACTACTATGGTGAATTCCTACCATCTTGTCTAGTGAAATTCTGTAGTATCACTAATGTTTTATCTAACAATTATTTTCTTATTCTCTTTAATGGTTTGAACAATTTTCCATTCTTACATCTGGCAATCTGAGCAACATAATTGAAGATAACTATACGTAATCTAACAACCACTATTAATTCATATTATTTTGTCTTGAAACCCTATATCACTATAAACGTTCTTGCTTTGGTTTGTTTATGTTTATGATGCTGGTATGCTGCTATTATTTTTTACTCCTCTCTTTTACTCATTTACTATTCTCTTTAAAATAAAATCTAAAAAAAATAAAGTTAGTTGGTTGACTTTTGGGGTTGGAAACTGATGTTTTTCTACTTAATGCTTTGAATAGCTGTCAATGCTTGCCAGGCAGGTGCTTGCACCACTGAGCTATATCCCCAGCACCTGATTTATTATTAAACAAATTAATACATACAACGTTTTAAAAGTTCCTTTCAGCCAACAAAAAGCTACAGAAAGAAGGAAGTGAAAGATAACATCAATGACTTCTCTCCAAAGTGAGATGGAAACAACATACGGCCGTTACCTTTCCCACGCAGAAGACGGTACGTAGCCTGGAGTTCGGAGATTTCTTGAGGGGAGGGTTTTTTGCCTGTGGCTGCTATCCAAAGTCGCCCTCTGTGGGGGGTGTACCAGGATCTGCCCTCTACCCTTAAATAAACACAGAGTTAGTGGCAAGCATGTGAATTCTAGCTTCTTGGAAGACTGCCCTAACACACAACCAATCCTACAGCAAATTTTCCAGCTCCGTCTCTCCCTTGAGGGGGAACCCTGTTCTCTAATTTCTCCCATTATCAGAACAAAGTTCATCTCCTTCAACTCCTGACTACTTGTCACCTGATTCCTACAACTCAGACCCGGAGTTGTCACTAGTTTTGAACTTCTACAATCTACACACTTTATTTTTAAGGCATTCAAGTTGTCCCACAGATGGAGAAATTCTTCTTCGAGTCAAAAGCTAACATTTTCCCAGAAGACCTGCTCATTTGTTCTCCAATCTGACAGAAAAGTTCTCCCCTACACATAAGGACCCAAGAACGGTACTTTTATGATTATTATTTAACAGAATTTAAGTAAATAAAAATACCCTTCACTCTAAATTGCAAAACCACCCATATCATTTTCTAATCATTACACACAAGGTTATGTTCTGTGTGAGTAACTAATCAGCATGTTGACAGATTCGAAAAAATCTTTTAAGTGGAACAACAGAATACATTCACTAGAATTTAATTACTTTGCTGTTTTATTTTTATTTTTTTATTTTTGAGACAGGGTCTCACTATGTAGTTCAGGCTGGCCTTGAACTCACTTATGTAGCCCAGGCTGGCCTGGAACTCATGGCGACCCTCCTGGCTCTGCCTCCCTAGTGCTGGGATCACAGGCCTGCGCTACCATGCCTGGCTCCAAGATGTTTCTGTTTGCCTCTTACCAAATTAAATAAAGTACCTAAATAATGTAACCCTCTCCCCTCGTTCTTACAGTGGGAAGTAGGGCAGTGACTTTTTCATATTCTTCATTTTCCAATGCAGATCAACTAAGTGTTCATGGTAAGGAGTGAACCAATGCATGCCTGCCCTCTACTCCAAATAAACTGAAGAGTTACTGGGAAAATGCCCCTCACTCCCCCTGAATGTGGCAGAACCACACACGTTATTTCTGTGGGATTAGTGATTGTGGGATAAATGTTGCTCATCCTGTTCTTTTCAGTGAGAAAATCTGAATAACAGAGCCCTAAAATAGCATCAGAGAAATGTAAACATTCTGATTCCCTTCCAGAAGGCAAGCTGTTTCGTTTTCTATTTTGGAAAAGGAAGACACCTAAACCGCATAGAAGTGAATGAGAACAGACATCTGGAGCTGGGCTGCCCCGGGGGAAAGGCAGATTCACGTGTGCTTGTTCTGATGACCCTATGCACAGAACTCAAAACAATTAGCAGCCGAAGCAAGAAAGCCTGACCTTCAGTAGGGGAGAAAACTGTAGTGTACCTTACTGAAGAAGAAAATGATGGCTCACAGGGAAGTCACTGAAGTAGAAGTGACTGTCCCCAAATGCCAATCATTTTTCTTTCCAGAATGCAGGGAAATGAAAGACGCCAACATAGCGGAATGGGAAGAACACTCTGAAACCTGAACTCCACCGTTCAGCACTAAGGAGGCTAACGAAGGAGGATCCAGTCCAAAGCCAGCCTGGGCTACACCGCGAGACCCTGACTCAAAAACAAAAACAAAAACCCACAAACAAACCACCTGAACTCTAGCTCTGTCTCTGCTACTTTCTAACTTTGTAACAGAGCAACCCACCTTACCATTGCCTGCCTCGGGCCCTCATTTGGCATACCGTAGTAATACTTCACAGAGTTATTGCTTCAAAAATCAAGATTCTATTTAAATAAAAGATTTTTACTATTATGAGTTAAGAATTGCTGGGCATATAAAATTCTAATAGACTGGCCAGGTGTGGTGGTGCACGCTTCTAATCCCAGCCTTTCAGAGGCTGAAGCAAGAGGAGTACTGAGTTTGAGGCCAGCCTGAACTACGTAGCAAGATCTTGTCTCAAAAACAACAAAAAAAATCTCACAGATTAAAATAAGAAAAAATGAAGCTAGGCTTGGTGGTATACCCTCCTGTAATCCCAGCTCTTAGGAAGCTGAGGCAGGAGGATCACGAAGTCAAAGCCAGTCTGAATTATATAGAAAGACCCTGTTTTAAAAAACAAAAATATAGAAAGAAGGAAATAGCTGGGCATGGTGGCACACACCTGTAATCCTAGCACTCAGGAGGCTGAGGCAGGTGGATCACCACAAGGTTGAGGCCAGCCGGAACTGCATAGCAAGACCCTGGCTCACAAAAACAAATAAAACAATCTATCTATAAATAAAAAGAAGGAAAAATGAGCATGTGGTAATGATAAGTGACAGAAAAACTAACACAAATGTACATCATGATCTCACTATGTAATAATATGCACAGGAAAAATAACAAATAAATGCTCCAAAATGCTAATAACTATTTCTAGGTAGTATGACTATAGGTGACCTTTCTGACCTAACTACTCTTATGTTGAGAAGAAATGTAAGAAACCACAGGATATTAAACCATTATCACTAACATGTACAACACCGCTCTATACTTCTTTCACCCTTCACGACATCCTCTACTTTTTTACGGAATAGAAATTATGGCCGAATAGTTTCTCAACATGGTTAATGAGATTAACAGACAGTTCAGGGAGAAAAATAAGTTCTGGTGCTATTGTCTCAATAAAATAGATAAATAAATAGGCATTAAAACTTCTTCTTTTTTTTTTTTTTTTTTTTTTTTTTTAGACCAGGGTCTTGCTGTTCAGCTCAGGCTGGCCTTGAGCTCACTTTGTAGCCCAGGCTGGTCTTGAACTCCCAACAATCCTCCTGCCTCAGCCTCCCAGTGCTGGGATTACAGGCATGTGCCACCACACCTGGCTCATGTTTCAAACAGAATCAAACCACTAAGGTTGCTGAGTAATATATTAACCAAAACAAAGCCAAGAGAAGTTTTTTACAATAGACTTTCTTCCTGAGATGAAAAAACTGGCATTCTATCTTTGTTACCACTTGGATCTTTAGCGTATCTAAACTCAATTTGCTTTTTTAAGCTATTTTGGTTTTTTTAAAAGTGATTTTTATCAATTTAAAATCCTAGCCAGCTACAGTGTATCACAACTGTAGTCCTAGCTACTTGGCAGGCTGAGAGGGAGGATCACTTGAGCAAGGGAGCTCAAAATCAACTTGGCAACAAGTGACACAGACTGTCTCAAAAAAGCCAAGTCAATCAAAACTAAACTACTATCAAGTCAGCAATATACTGTTTAAAATTCTACGTCCTCAATAATGTTATAAATCATCACTGGAGACTAAAGCATGGTGGTGCACACCTATAATCCCAGCGCTAGGGAGGCTGAGGCAGGAGGATTGCCATGATTTGGAGGCCAGCCTGAACTACAAAACCAGACCCTGTCTCAAACAAAACAAAATAAAACAAAACAAAACAAAACGAGACTAGAGCACAAATTCCAATCCATAGTTCTAAAATGCAAGTTTATGTCACTCTAAGATTTCTCACTGCTAAAATTCATTTCTATTCTTACCTTTTAATCCCTCTGACAAGCAGAGAAGCCCAGGGCTGATGCATAGAGAGGCACCAGCCACCATCAAAGCCCTCCTGGAATTCTTCATCCTGGATCCTCAGTTGGTGCTGATACAGGCTGGACTCTAGCCCCGATCCTGCTGAATGGAAAGCTTTCTTCTGTGAGGTGGCACCTGTATGATCGACCCACTATATGGGGGGAAAAAGTTCTGTCTTACATAGGAAGAATCTGGAAAGGTGGACAATATGTGATAATACTAGTAATGATGATTCAGAAGGCCAGGAGTGGTGATACAGGAGGCTGAAGCAGGAAGACTGCAAGATAAAGGATGGCTTGGGCAACTTAGCACAATCCTACCTCAAAATAAAGTTTTTAAAGGGCTGGAGGTATAGCTCATGAGTGAAGTGCTTGGCCCAATACCACCACCACACACACAAAAATCATACTAACAGCATTCGCTTAGAAAATTTTATTCAAGGCTAAAAAAGGGTAGAGATGGTATAAATTCAATAGGAGTTGTCCAAGATATAATAACAAAGTCCTATCTTTATTTATTTTTGTACTACTAGAGATTGAACCGGACTTTCCTAAGGAAGTAAATCCCCAGTCTTTTTTATTTTGAGAGAGGGTTTCACTAAATTGCCCAGGCTGGCCTTGGAACTTGCCATCCTTTAGCCTTCCAAAGTGCTGATATTATGGGCATGCACCACTGTGTCCAGCTATAAACTCCTATATTAAAAGATAAGCAGAATGTTAAAAATCTCTATACAGCGCTTCTTTTTGTTTTGTTTTGGTCTTTGGTTTTTTTGAGACAGGGTCTCACTATGCAGTTCAAGCTGGTCTTGAGCTCACTTTGTAGCCTAAGCTGGTCTCAAACTTCCAACGATCCTCCTGCCTCAGCCTCCCGAGTGCTGGGATTACAGACATGCACCACCACAGCCCACCCCACCTTTTTATTTATTTTAAATTAGACTTCATTGGTACATTTTAGATATACATAATGATCATACTCATCCTAGAGAATTTGTACCTGTACATGATACTAACCCCATTCCCCTGTCCTCCCTTCAACTCCTCCTCCCCTTCCCATTTACAAAGCTTTGTTTCTATATTTTCCTTTTTTTCCCTTTTCCCTTCCCCCTTCTTTCCTCTGTTCCCCTCCCCAATTTCCTCCTATGTCAATATACCTATTATACATTTCGGACCTTATGTACACTTTCAGTTTCACACCAAAGAAACACCAGAGAAACACCAGAGTTTCACACCAGAGAAACAATGCAATATTTATACATGTGTGTCCAACTTATTTCACTTAAGAGTATGGATTCAAGGTGCATCCATTTTCCTAGAAATGTCTTGAGCATATCTGTCTTTATGGCAGAGTAATACTCCATTGTATAAAAAAAAACCCCTACATCTTCTTTATGCATTCACCAGTGGATGAACACTTGGGTTGTTTCCAAGATTTGGCTATTACAAACTGTGGTACTATAAACATGGGTGAGCATATATCACTATTATGACACTTTTAATTCTTTTGGGGAAGATACCCAGCAGGGGAATAGTTGGGTTGAATGGGACCTCCAATCTTACTTTTTTGAGGAATCTTCACACCGATTTCCACAGTGGTTGCACCAGTCTACTCCCACCAACAGTGGAGAAGGGTTCTTTTTTACCCCACAGCCCTGCAAGCATTTGTTATTGGTTGATTTCCTTTTTTTTTTTTTTTTGGTCTTTTTGAGACAAGATCTTGCTATGCAGTTCAGGCCAGCCTTGAGCTCACTTTGTAGCCCAGGCTGGTCTAGAACTCACAAGGATCCTCCTGCCTCAGCCTCCTGAGTATTGGGATTACAGGCGTGTGTGCCACCATGCCCAGCTTGATTTCCTGATAACAGCCATTCTTTCTGGGGTGAGATAGAATCTTAGTGTTGTTTTGATTTGTATGTCTTGAATGACCAGTGATGTTGAAAGTTTTTTCATGTTTATTTGCTCTTTGTTTGTTTTTTGTTTGTTTGTTTTTTCTTCCAGTACCAGGAATTGAACTCACGACCTTGCACTTGCCAGGCAGGCGCTGTGCCGCTGAGCTAAATCCCCAGTCCTATTTGCTCTTTGTATTTCTTCATCTGGGAAGTATGTATTCAGTCTCGGATGCCCATTTTTGGATTAGGTCTTTAAATGTGGAGGTCTGATTTTTTTTGAGTTCTTTATATGTTCTTGATTGTAATCCTTTGTCTGAAGAACAGCTGGCAAACATTTTTTCCCACACTGTGGGTTGTTCCTTCACTCTGTTGGTGGTTTCTCTGTGCAAAAGCTTTTTAGTAAGATGAGATCCCAGTTGTTGACTCTTTGTGATAGTTCCTGTGTGATCGGCGTTTTATTCATAAAGCCTCTGCCTACACCAATGTGTTTAAGAGCTTTACGTATTCTATCTTCCAGTAGATTTACGTTTCTGTTTTAATATTTAGATCTTAGATACATTTCAACTTTAGTTTAGTGCATGGTGAAAGACATGGGCCCAATTTTTATCTTTGGCATATGCAAAGCCAGTTTTTCCAGCCCTATTTATTAAAGAGGCTACCTTTCTTGCAGTGAATGTATCTGGCACCTTTGTCTAAAACAAGGTGGCTGAGTATGCCTGGAGTAGTTTCTGCATCTTCTAATCTGTTCCACTGATCCTTGGGTCCACCCCCCCTTTTTAACACAAAGCTTCCTACTTCTAATAAAAACAACTATCAGACCAAAAGAGCGACAACTGTTCCACTTTATACTTATCAGTGATCTATACTGTGTTCTAGATGATTTTCCAAGAAAGCCCTCAGCCAAATGAAGATCCAACGTTTTGACCTGTAATTTTTCATGTGCTTAGAGCAGAGTCACACGTCTGTTATCACAACAAAGCCAAGGATGCTGTCGGGAACAGCGAGTGGTTCCCCTGCCAGATGTATGAAGTCTTCCGCTTCCCTGGAATCAACACTTTTTCCCCAAAAGGGAAGATGGAGGCCCTGAGAAGCAGGGCTCCCATCACATACAGGGACAGGGAATTACAGAGTCTTGGCAACAGTTCCCTCAGAGGCAGATGAAATAAGATCAAGTGCTTCAAAATTAAGAAGAAGAAAAAGGCTACTGTGACAGGGAGACTTAATGTTTTTTAATTTAACAATTTATTAAACTGATAAGAACAGATGCTGCACTTGATTTTAGCCAAAAGGCTGAGAAGCGATAATTTAACAATTTATTGAAAAAAACCTTGCTGGAGTGGTAAACTGGCAGCCTGGAAACCCCAGCAATCATTTAACCGTGAAAGCTTTCCGTTTTCTCTACTACAAAAGGATGAGGCTGTATGTTTCTGCAATAAACTGTGTCACACCCTTAAAAAAAAACCCATATTTAATGACGTGGGCAGCACCTCAACCTCTGCGTCTGCGGCCTTCCCTGGCTGGCTCATTGCCCCTGGCTCCACAGGATAATCTCGTCTTTACGACCCAAGAAGTGGGGAAAACCTATGTCACTGAATCTGTGGTGCTGAATCAAGACTTTTTTGTTCCTGACAAGAAGAAGCAAATACAGAAGTTACAACAAAAAAGAGAGGCCAAAAAAGAAAACCGAACTCTTCCTGGGCTGTGTTCTTATGGTGGTTTGGATGAAGAACTGCTGATGTTCATGAAGCCTTCATCCAAGGCATTACCACTGGATCTCAGAAGGAGATAAATTTGCGGAATACATTTTTTTTCATTTCAGTTTTAAAAAAAAAACACACTTATTGAGTACTTAACTATGTGAAAAGTATGTAACCAGGAAGACATTAAATATCAAAATATAAAAAAAAAAAAAAAAAAGAAAAAAAAAAGCCAAGTATGGTGGCTCATACCTGTAATCCCAGCACTCAGGAGGCTGAGGCAGGAGGATCACTGCGAGTTCGAGACCAGCCTGGGCTACAAAGTGAGCTCAAGGCCAGCCTGAACTGCATAATGAGACCCTGTCTCAAAAAGACAAATAAATAAATAAATAAATAAATAAATAAATAAATATCAAAATATACTGTTTTTGCAGTCAAGGAACTTACAATACTAATAGACGACAAACACAAAAGTAACTGTCCATAACATAAGGCAAAACTGGGTAAATATGAAATAAGGATAGAAACTCTTATGTGGGAATGTAGAGGAAGAACTGCTTCATTATGGAGGAAGTAAGTAATTTTATAAAAATGCTGGGATTTGAACAACTGTCGTGCCCAAATCCTTTGTTCCATCTCTACTACAGCCCTTGACGCTAACCACACAGCCACTTACCTACTCTTTCAATACACTGTTACAGACCCTATTAACCAGTCTCTTCATTTACACCTTTAGTCTTTAAATAACTCTCTCTTGCCTTACTGGTGCTACAACCCTAACTTGTGGACTCCTGCATTATCTCCCCACTGTGCTGCTGCAATAACCTCCTTAGCAATTCTGCTCCTGCTAGCCTTACCTTTCCCTTCATTCCATTCTCTAGGTAAGCATGGAAGTCACAAATCTGCTAAAATCCTTCAAGGACCTCTCTATGCAACTTTAGGATAAAACCTGAACTCTTTAGTATGCGACCTAAGGGCTTTCAAGATTAGGTGTTGTCTACTGTACTAGGTTGAGTAGTATGCCATCAAACTTTCTCTCCTAGCTACATTCTGGGATTACGCCCTTTATTTTGAAACAGTCTCTGCGAAAACAATCATTTTAAGATGAGATCATTGTAAATCTAGTGACTGCTGTCCTTATAAAATGGAGAGGACACGCTGAGACAGAGACACAGAGGCACCGACTAGGGCTGTGGTGGTGAGTCCATGGCACGTGTGCTGTGGCAGGTTGTTTGTACCACTGAAAGCTCTAAAATGTTCACTATCACTGGATTAGGGTGACATAGCTACAAGCTAAGGCATGCCCAGCGCCACCAGAAGCAGAAGAGGCAAAGGAACACTCTCCTGCAGAATCTTTGGGGGGAATGTGGCCCCAGCTGACACCTTGATTTTGAATATATGGCAGCCCTAGGAAACTAATACACCTACCAGTCCATAACAATACTTAATTACTTGTGATTTTAGGCCCAGACCTATGAGCCTTTGTACATGTTGCATCTTCTACCTAGAATACCCTTCCCAAATGGGTCTGCTTGGAAATTCTCTTTTTCTTTCTCTATTGTGACACTAGGGAATGAGGCCAGGCCCTCACACACGCTAGGCAAGCAATCCACCACTGAGCCACATCTCCCCCGTCCTACTGCCTAAATCAGTATTTAATAAAACCCACTAGAAGATAACTCAGAAGATAAACTGGTTGATTTGTTAAAAGTGCTACAAAAATAACTAGAAAAACTGGGCCAGACAGAAGGGTTTGTGCATGTGCTGAGAGCAGACGAGTATCTAATGCCTATGAAACAGACACACCAGAATAGAAAAATATTCGGGATCAAATTTCATTATGAATTAGAAGAAAGGCCCACTGACCTGTGGAGGGGACTGGTACAGGTTGGGGTTTACCAGAACTCCCAAAGGCTCTTCAGAATATCTACCCGATCTCATCAGTGGCTGGTACAGGGTTCCACTGGCAATGGCCTGTATGGTCTCATCTAGTCTATGGTAACAAACCAAAAGGACGCAATAATCGGTAACATTCTATGCTTAGCATCTCCTTATTTACCACAAGCACAAAACCCTCAATAGTAATAAAATTTGGAATTCAAAGGGGAGTCCACAGACACCAATCCCTCCTCCTCACCCCCTCTACTTCTCTTTGATCAAAAACCGTAAGGAAAATAGGTCATTCAACTTGTTAAACAAGATCAATAAATAAGACCAAAAGCTGAGTGTGTTGTGTACTCCTGTAATCCCAGCACTCGGAAGGCTGAGGCAAGAGGATCACTGCCAAGTTCAAGACCAGCTTAGTCTACATAGTGAGACTCTGTCTCAAAAAAAAAGGAAAAGAAAAGAGAAGATGCCTAGAACTAGTCTGCCCACAGAAGAGCACTCTGTGGCAGTTTACTTAACAGCACACCTACACAGCTGCTGCTGTCTCCTCGGTCCTTTGCTGCTCCTCCATGCTATCAAGTGCTACAGAGGCCCCTACGTGCCCAACACACAGGTGCCCCCTCGCTTCCACAAGGCCTGCAGCACCTAGTATCTATCAGTCAGTGGATATATCTCAAGTTATTCTAAGGTGCCTAGGGTACTGGTGCTGGGATTTGACTTAAAACCTATAAAATAATGTGGTAAGTTTCATTTGAAGATTATGGAACCCTGTGGCTTTTAAGACATCAGAAGGGAAAGGAAAAATAATAGGATGGGTAGGACCAAAGTATGTTACATATATGCAGGAAAATGCCACATTGAAATACAATGGTCTATAAAACTAATATTCAGTAATTATATATAATTATATAATATATAATTAAATATAATATTGTAGTATACTATTAATATTATATATAATATTTTCATATAGATACATATATATATGAAAAAATGAGCACAGGTCCTGCAGGAACTCTATCTTATTCCACTTGATTTTCCAACAGTACTTGCTGCCACATTCCATACCTCTGTTGCGGGGCTGGGGATTTAGCTCAGCAGCACAGTGCCTGCCTGGCAAGCGCAAAGTTGTGAGTTCGATTCCCAGTACCAGAAAAAAAAAACCAAAAAACCCAAAAACAAACAAAAAAAACTATACCTCTGTTGGATGCTTGACAACCACTTGTGAATGATGATGATAATTTTGAGGGAACATAATAAAAAGCTTGTAATACCAGGGAAGGATGAACCCAACCTTGAATTCAATTCAAGTTATATTCATTAGAAACCCCTTCAACGCAATGGGATATATGGTGGAGGACAGGGTTCCTGACTTTAAGAAGCTTTGAATCTACATGGCAGGTTTAAGATACCTACATGGGTGATGAACCGTACCTGAAGGGTGTAACCGTTACTGTGAGGCACACACAATCCTGGTGGTTATAAGCCTCACATCCACATGGTGCACCATGTAGGTTCAAGGGAGAGACAGACATTGAGAGGCAATTATTCAGGGAGAGATTTCCAGCGGAGGAAAGAACAGAAACAAAGGCAGAAACTAAAAAAAAAAGGACAAGACTTTGAGACGAAACTAAGGTGAGGACAGTGAGCTCTGAAAGGGGAACAGATCTGAGATACAGTATGGCGCTTAAGCCCATCCACAACTCTAGAACCTATAACAAAAACAAAACTAGTACCAAGTAAATACATTTTAAAATAGGTTTACTAGCACATACCTAAAGCAAAGAAATATAGTGAAAATTATGATAAAATGCCATTTTTTCATGGATCAGAAAAGCAAATATTTTCAAAAAACTGATGATAAGGGAAAGAGGTAACTGTCATCTTGATATATGACGTGTAACTGTTAAGTCAAAAAGGAGGCACCAACCAGGTCTTGTGGCACACACCTGTAACCCAGCACTGAGAGTCTGAGGCAGGAGGACGGCAAGTTTGAGCCCAGCCTGGGCAACCCAGTGACTTAGTGAGACTCTGTCTCATGACAGAAAACTGGAACACCAAAACTAGAATGGTGGGTATACGTCATAAATTTGTCCAAAGCTCACACAGTACCATAGTTTTTTTTTTCTCCAAACCCATAAAATGTATGCCACAAGCGCTCTTCCACGGTGATGTTTCACAGTGACCACTCTCCCTCCATCAGCTGTGGTGAATGTACCATAGCGGTGGGGAGTGCTGACAATGGGGGCAGCCGTCGGGTGGGGGGCACCAGGAGTACACGGGACATCTCGGTACACCTCAGGGCTTGAACTTTCTATCTTCCTGTCGCAGACTCCCAGAGTACAGGCACGCACCACCTCACCCAGCTCAATGATCTATTTTTGTATACAAACTGTATATTGTTTTAAAGATTTTTTTAAAGAACAATAATTACTTAGTACAGCTGCAGACAAGTTCCCTTCGAAGTTCATTTTTAAAATTTTCTTAGCTGCCATGTTTTCCCTTCCAAATAAACACTGTTTTTCTTATTTTTATTTTGTGGTGCTGGGGATCAAATCCAAGTCTTCCTGTATGCTAGATAAGTACTCTACCACTGAACTAAATCCCTGGCTTTAAACATTTTAAACATTTTTATTTATTTTTTGTGGTGCTTAGATCATAATTATTTTTGTTTGTTTGTTTTGGTTTTTTTGTTTGTTTTTTGAGACAGGGTCTCACTGTGTAGTTCAGGCTGGCCTTGAACTCACTATGTAGCTGTCAAGGCTGGCCTCAAAATTGCAGTGAGCCTCCTGACTCAGTCTCCTGAGTGCTGGGATTACAGGCATATATCACCATGACCAGCTATGATTATTTTTAAAGTCAACAAAAACAACAAGTCCATCAGAGAGGAAAAACCTTTCATATCAACCTGCTTTTTATTTTTTTTTTTCTGGAACCAGGAATCGAACTCGCGACCTTGCACTTGCCAGGCAGGCGCTGTGCCACTGAGCTAAATCCCCAGCCCTCAACCTGCTTTTGTTAGACCCTTTGTGATGCTACCCACTCACCTGCTGTGATATTCTGCTAGTGGGTTTTCTTCTTCCAGGATCTTCCTGCCGGCAAAGTCAATGGTGATTTTCTTAGAAAGTCGAGAGGCATGTCGAAGTTCTCTCAGCTCCTCTTCTCTCTTCTGCAGGGTTTCCCGCTCAATTTTGGACAACCACTGGTTAGAGTCGCTGGCAAAGTAATCTGACTCATCATCAATGACTTGGGTCCTTCGGATGCTAAGGTAAAAAGAAAAAGGACCACGAGGCAGTTAGGTCACATGGTGATAAATATGGGTGAAGTACTTGCGGTAGCTCACTCACAGTCTTGCCTGATTCCCAGTTCTGCATACATCGTATCTCAATTCAGCTCCTAGAACTACAGATTCTCAGTCTAAAGCAGGAAAAGACACAGAAGCACAATCCATTGCCATTTTATCTAACTAGTCCAGTCTTCACCGTCTCATAACTGAGTTGATGTTCTGGCAACTTACTCAAAATCTTAGTCCTACAGTCTGGCTCGGCCTATTTGCTCACTAGGATTCTACCCCAAAATCTGCTGGCTTAACTGTTTACTCTTACAGAGGCATAAGGAAAATTCTGAAATCAGATTCATATATTGATTTCAGTTTTTCAGGACTCAGCTGGAATTAAAAGATTCCGGGGTCACAGAGTAGGATATTTAAGAGGCCTCAGGAGGAAGCAGGCTTCCTAGCACATAACTAAAAGGGTACACCTATAATCCCACCTACTCAGGAGGGTGAGAAAGAAGACTGTAAGTTTAGGTCAGTCTGGGTAACTTGTCCCGACCCTGTTTCAAAGTAAAAGTTTTTTTTTTAGAAAGCGTCTGCTGAGCTGGGCATGGTGGCACATGCCTGTAATCCCAGCACTCAGGAGGATGAGACAGGAGGATCGTTGTGAGTTCGAGGCCAGCCTGGGCCACAAAGTGAGTTCAAGACCAACTTGAACTGCATAGTGAGGCCCTGTCTCAAAAAGACAAAAAAAAGGCGGGGGGTTCTGCTGGGCGTGGTGGAACACACCTATATTCCTACCCACCCTGGAGGCTGAAGCAAAAAGATCACAAGTTCAATCCTCATCTGGACAATTTAGCAAAATCCTATCTCAAAACAAAAAATTTACAAAAGGGTTAGGATGTAGTTCTGCGGGAAGGCCCTGAGTTAAATCCCCAGCACAGCAAAAAAAATTTTTTAAATTAAAAAATAAAGGGAGCTGGGGATGTAACTTAGTGGTAGATTATTTGTCTAACATACACAAGGGCCTAGTTTCAATCTTCAGTACCATTAAAAGAAAAAAAAAAAGCAACAAAAGACAAGAAAAAGGGCCCAGAATATAGTCTTAAACCAGTAAGACCAGCTTCAAATCTAAATACTGAAACTGGTGCCCTTGTGAGACCTTTTTCCAGTTTCTATTTATCAAGAAAAGCACTGTATTTCTAATGATAAATTTTACTGAGTATGTTGACATGTGACACCTGAAGGGTGATTTTGTAAGGGCTTTCTTAAGGAATGGCTTTAAAAATTATATCTCACAAATTCATAGCCTAGCAAATGGTCTGGAAGGAGCAGATGTGCTCACCAAAAGATTATGCTTCAATACATTATTACTGGTGCTCTCCTAGGAGCACGTTCTTTTTTCTTCTCCTCTGTTTTGGTTCGTCAGATGTAGTCTTGCTGTGTAGTCTGTAGCCTTCAGTGCACTGTGCAGTCCAGGTTGGCCTCACATTCACATTCTCCCGCACCAGACTCCCGTGTGCTGGGATTCCACTCTTACAACCTTATGTTTTTGTGTTTTTTTTTCCGGTACCAGGAATCGGAATGCGCAGCAGGGCAATTCCCAGCTGATTCTCTAGAGCCCAGCCCAGAGGTTTGCTCACAAAAGGGACTCTAATACAGTCATGAACCATGCACTGACATTTCACTCAGTGCTCTACTATGTATATAATGGCGGTCTCTTAAGATCGTAATGGAGCTGACATTGATAAAGCAGCATCATTTCTGTCATGATATCACAGCACAGCACATTATTCATGTGTTTGTGCTGATGTGGATGTAAAGAAATGTACTCGACTGTCGGGTGTAGAAAATTACAGCATATGCAATTATGTACAGTCTATACTTGATACTGATAATAAATGACTCTTACAACCTTATGTTTTTGTGTTTTTTTTTCCGGTACCAGGAATCGGACTCACAACCTTGCGCTTGCCAGGCAGGTGCTGTGCCACTGAGCTAAATACCCAGCCCCTGTTACAACCTTATGTATTTACTAGGTTATACTTTTTACCATTATTTTAGTTGTAGTTTTTGGTACTGAGGATCGAACGCAAGGCCTTGAACATGCTAATCATACTCCACCACTGCGCCACATCCTCCTCCCTTATCATTATTTTAGGTATACCACCTGTATTTACATAGTTTACTCTAAATAGTATGGTATGTCATGCCAGCAGCAGTCCCTTGCATCTCATGTTTACAGTACCCCTTAATTGCATCATTTCCCTTGCGCTTGATTTAATCTTGTGTTTTGTTCACCACAGCCCTAACAGCGATGGGCTATGCCATAAATATATACACCGTATCACTTCGGTAGTGTGAACGGACCTGGTAACATTTGAACAACAAAGTTCTCTAATGACACATTTCTTGGAACACAGTCCATTTTTAAGCAATGAATAAGTACATGTTGACTGAAGAAATAAAAGGCTGAAACAAGTGGAGAATATGTTACCCCAAATCAACTGTCCGGGGGTACATCTGCCAGGAACAAAAAATGTTGCTATGGGACAATGCTCTCTTAGTGAAAGTGTTTATCTTATTCCAACATGGATTCAAAAACAAGGTATAAGCAGGAGCATCACGGCAAGTTTGAAGCCAGCCTGGGCTGCATAGTGAGTTCAAGGCTACCTCAAACTATATGATGAGACCCTGTCACCTTGTCCCCCGCTAAAAAAATCAAAACACAAAAAACAAGATGTGAATGTAGCTCAGTGGCCCTGGGTTTGACACTCAGCACTGCAAACAAAAATAAGGGGTCAGGGATGTAGCTTAGTGGCATAAGCGCTTGCCTGGCAAGCCTGAGGTCATGAGTTCAATTCCCGGTACCAAAAAAAAAAAAAAAAAGATATACTCCCCCTTGAAAGCATAGTAAGTTCCAAAATAACGTTTTAATGACCAGAATCTGTGGATTAGTCTATTTCTCAGCACTTGTTAGCCTAACTCTATCATACCTAGTTCTGTCAAACTCTAACAGTTTGTCTTTATGCTTGATAGCCTTCTCCAGTCCAGACTTGATTCGAGATTCTTGATGAGGAAGAAGGTCCTTAGGGGAGATGTCCACCTTTCCAGAACTGTCTGCCCCTGAAATTCAATAAGGAAATCAAATAGTATCAGCACATAGTACAAATGAGTTGTACCACTGTTCAGCAAAGAACAAAATATCTGAAGGTCTGGTCTGGTCTAAGAGTCTTCAGCCTTCATTTCAACAGAAAACAACCAAACACAGATGCCAGACCTAACTTACAAAGCATCAAATGGTGCTTGACAGATAATAGGTCACCAAAAATGCCAGGCCCTTTTTCTTTTCTTACAGAAATCTGAATTGCTAAGGAAACCAAACCATTTAATAACACAATACAATGACATCCTTTAGGGTTGGTGAGGCAACTCAATAGTAAACATTTGCCTTGCAGGCATGAGGCCCTGGGTTTATTACCCAACACCACACACACACACACACACACACACACAAAAAAAAAAAAAGAAAGAAAGAAAAGCAAAGAAAAAGGAAAAGGCTTTACAAGTGAAAAAACTTTACTGAATAGGACTATCACCTTTAAGTTTACTACTATACATGAAAACTAAAAACTAATGGGAGGGCAGGGGATATAGCTCAGTGGATGCCTGCTTGGCAAGTGCAAGGTCCTCAGTTCAATTTTTGGTACAAAAAAACAAAAACAAAAACAAAAACACTAATGGGAAAGAAATTTCAGGAAAGGCACAAAAATAAATAGTTAAATGTGGAAGCACTTAATACAAAGTATTTAATTCTCACAATAGCTTATAAAACAGTTTGCAGGAAGGAAAATGAAGTTCCCAGATAATACTAAGTTTATTGAGTTTACTCCGAAAGAAGACCAGTGTGGTGGCATGCATCTGTATTCCCAGGGAGGTTAAGGCAGGAGGGTCACTTTGAGATCAGGAGGTCAGCCTAGGCAACACAGTGAGATCCCATCTCAGACCATACAATACCAAACCAGATTCCTCAACCTCATTAAAAATAAAAAAGTATACCTTCCTACAAATACATAAGTGTAATCTCAAAACTCAGCAATGAACAGGTTTTAGGGTACAATGCTAATACTGCTATAGACTAGTACAATAACTTGGTGCAGTAATTTGATAAATACATCTCAAGTGCCCAAAATGGTAATATTCACAGCCAGGCACTGTAATCCCAACACTCAGGAGGTAAAACAGGAAGACAGCTGGAGGCTAGCTTGAGCTAATATAAGTGAGTTTAAGTTCTGTTTGGACTATATAGCAAGATGCTGTCTCAAAAAGCAAAATAAAACAAAAAATTACTTAACTCATTATTTCTATTCTTAGGAATTTGTCCCAAGAAAACAGATCAACCTGAGCTCAGTGGTGAATACCTGGCATTTGGGTAATTCCAGTCATTTGGGAGGCTGAGGCAGGAGACTATCAAGTAAAAGGCCAGCTGGGACATCAGAGCAAGACCCTGTCTCAACTTCTGGGAAGATGTCAGAGCGGTGAACAGCAACAAATCAAACTCTAAGATTCAGAATCCAGACACTGGAAAATAACAAGCTGGGGAAGAGAAGAAAGAGGGAGGTGGATCCCTGGGACCCAGGAAGGATCTGGAGGGAGAACTGGGGCCCACAGAGAAAGTGAAAAAACAGACTATAATGCAGAAAAAGGAGGGGACGAACTGTACTCTCTCCCTAGCTCCCGGCTCCTGGCATGAAAGACAATGGAATCTCCAGAGACGCAGTGAGGTGGGAGACTCCAGAAGACTCCAGGGAGAAACACAACAGTCGAACAGAGCAGAAGACACTGTGCACTGCAACAGCTGGAGAGTGGCTCCAGTCCGAGCGATGCTGTGTCTGCTGGAGAGGGTGCTTGGCCAGACACTGTTTCAGAGCGGGGCCAACTGAACCAGGACTCAGAGCAGCTGTGGGCTGCTTTCACCTCAGGGCTCCCAAGCTGAAATCCCAAAGTGACTGGGTAAGGGACAACAGCTGGAGACTTCAAGGGTCCGGGAGCCAAGGTCAGGCTGGCAAGAGACACCCAGAACATGACAGGCTGAAAAACTCAGGCCCCAACCCCACGAACAGAGGCCAGGATCAGCCTGAACTTTTGGGGCACAGAAAGCATCAGAATCGGCACCCGGCCTCGAGCCCACTACAGGCTTGCTGGGACCATCCAGCACAGATCTGGGATCCGGCTGCCTCCTCTGTCTACCACTGAGAGCAGAGACATGCCCTGAATTGGATACTACCACAAAACTGTAGACCCCAGGAGATAGCCACAGGCTTGAGGTCACAGAGAAATATTTTTCCTTTGCTTTTGTTTTTCATTTTTTCTTGTTTTTGTTTTTTCATGAGTGTGAAAACTATTTTTAGTACTTTATTTTGTTTTGCTCTTTTTTTTCCTCATCTTTCTTTCCCTTGTCTTCTTTAGCAGTTTCCCGAAGCTTGGGCAATCTTCCTTTGTCCTTTAGCCTTGCCTCTAATTTCTTTATCTTTCTTTATTTCCCTATTTTTTCCTCTCATCCCTTTTAAATTTTCTCCCCTGAGGGTAAAAACTGCTCTATTGAGTGGATATTTATTGTATATAATTTTATGATTTGTTTTAGAATTTGTTACATAACTATAAAATTTATAATATTTATAAATATTTATAATATTTATAGTATGATCATTATGTATATCTAAAATGTACCATTAAAATCCAATTAAAAACATAGCAAGGGACCACAAAAAAATTTGTATGCATGGTTAAACATGGCAAATTAAATTATCACAGTTTGTCATTTTCTTTCTTTTGGTACTGGGAATCCAACTCATAATCTTGCACTTGCCAGGCAGGTGCTGCACTGCTGAGCTATATCCCCAGCCCAGTTTGTCATTTTCCAGACTGTGCTTGATGCTATTATTGTTACTGATTGTACTACTTTAGCCAAGGTGACATAGTTGTGATCAGTTGCTCTTCCTCATATGTCAATACCAAGACTGTCTGAGGGTCATAATTGTTAGCATAGTCCAGCACCAAAAAATTGGGTGTTAGGCCAAATAGACAGCACCTTTTCATCCCTAATAAACTGAAGAGGCAGGACTTGGGACAGACTCAAAAGCCAAAAGCTACACCTTAGAAGACATCTCCAAAAAGCAGTCATTTCTTCAAGAGGTCTCAATAGTAGTAATAAAGTTAGGATGTGGCTAGTAAATCTAGAGTACAGGTAGATTAAAAAAAAATACATGCACTTAGGAAAGTGAATGCCCAGCATAGGAAAGCACTGGATTCTATAAAACAGACCCAAACAAACATCCAGGAAATTAAAAATGCTACTGAAAAATAAATAAATAAATAAAAATTCTATTAAAAGTATATGCAACCAATGTGAAGATACAATACCAGACCCAGAAGACAGGCTTGTGGTTAGTTGTCATCAAATAAAAGACTTTTAAAAAATAGTAAAGGACCAGGGAATGAAAAAAAAAAAAAAAAAAAGAATCAAGTTATATTATGTACAGGTACAAATTCTTTATGATGAATATGACCATTATGTATCTCTAAAATGTACCAATAAAATCTGATTAAAAACATAGCAAGGGACCACAAAAAAAAAATCAATCCAGCAGCTATTAGATGATACAGAGAAGAATAAGATAAGATTAATTGGAATTGATGAAAAAATCAGAAGATAGTATAAATGACATAAAAACTTGGTTCACAGAATTAATAGCAAAAAACTTGTCAAGTACAGAAAAAGAATTTCACACACAGGTAAGCGAGGCATATAGCACGCCAATTAGACATGATCAGAAAAAAAATACAAGGCATATATAGTCAAGATTCCAGAAATTCAACACAAGAACAGTATTAAAAGCTGTTAGAGAAAAAGAAACAAATCACCTATAAAGGGAAACCCATCAGCGTCACAGTAGACTTCTCAACATGAACCCTTAAGTCAGGGAGAACTTAAAGTGAAGTATTTTAAGTCCTAAAAGAAAACAACTGGCTGGGGATACAGCTCAGTGGC